TTGAATCCCCAGAACCCACATAAAAGCCAGGTGCTGCAGCATGAGCGTCTGTAACCCAAGGTCCCTAGGGGAGATGGAAGGCACGGACAAGAAGATCCCAAGGAGTTCATAAGGGTGCCATCTGACCTGGCACCCACAGCAGAAAAAACCGCAAAGGGATTCTGTCTCAAATAAGGTGGGAGGCAAGACCAATGCCCAATGCAGTCCTGAGATGCCCTCTCACATGTGTGTATGTGGTGCACGCAGATATACAAAGATAAAAATAATCTAAAACAATACCGAAAATGTCTATAATATTAATATCTATCCACCCTCGGTGCTGAGCCAAAGCTCGGTTGAGATACTGTGGAACTTGAATAATGTTTATATAGACATGAGTTGTTTCCTGTTAAGGGAATTTTGACATGTTCTTTCCCAAGATATGATCTTGCCGTGAGCCAGACTGAGTGTGCCCACAATGAGGTGTAAGGGGGCATGCAAAAGCACAGCCCGCCCTCATGGACCTCTGTACTTGTTCTCTAGAAAGGATCTCGTTGACAGGAGCCCTCGCTGTTGTTTTGAGTCCTTATTTGGAGAAGCACCTGGACTCTGAAAGGCACCTCCCTTGGCAGTGTCACTTTTAGAAACCCTTTGGAGCATCGCCCTTGGCTATGTATTTTGAGGAGTTAAGTGGCAGACACTCGTACCTTCTTGGTGTGTTTGCTGGCCAGACGGATCCCAGACAAATCATTACTGGAGACGGGAATTGCATAGCAAGAAAGGAATCAGAAAATTTCAACCTGTTTAATGAATAAGTCTAGATAGAGTTAAAGATTTTAAATGAGGATATTTAAGGAAAATTATTACAAGAATTTAATAAACAGTATTCAGCTCTGTTTGATATATTGATGGTTTATTTTTAGTTAAAAATAGAAATTAACAATACTTACATGGGGAAATTTTTGACACAAAAGAAAATATTTCTTAGAGACTTTACTGTCTTTTTATTATTTAAAATTCCATCTTGATTGACTCATCAAAATTTTGTCTCTAGTCGATCTATACCACTGGTAAAAATAATTTCAGTGCTTTATTAATGCATAAAAATCCTTACCACGCATAGGGTCAATCCATTTATACCTTAAAGATAAGCTCTGGTGACATTTTAATACCAAGTTTCTTCACAGAAAGGATGAGAAAATATTGCTGGATTTGTTGACATTTACTCTGTGTCCTCGGAGAGTATGAGATATGAGGTGCTTTGTGGCTCTGAAGGACTCCTCAAAAGTGGGACTCTATGAGTGCAGAGAAGTGATCCTAGTCAGCAGAAGGGAGCGATGATGTTTATATGTTTGCCAGTGAAACTTGGTGAATCTCTTGTCCAATCAACGATAAATAATCATCCAGGTGCACGGAGAATGGCAGGTGTGGGGAGGGGGGTGGTAGGGGCTGGAATTAACTAGTGATACTTTGAATTAACTAAAACAGTAGCAGACTTTTTTAGATGCCCAGTTAATATAAATTGGTTGAAGCCATTCAAATACCCCTGTTTTCTCCAGAGAGCACAATAGAAGTTGCCGGCTCTGAAATTTACCTTATTTTTTTTCTATTAAAAAAAAAAAAAATACAGCCTGAAATGATCTTGTTCTTGTTCTTGTTCTTATTCTTCTTGTTCTTGTTTTTGTTTTTGTTGTTGTTGTTCTCCTTCTCCTCCTCCTCTTCCTTCTTCTCTTTAATATGTGTGACATGTTTTGGGACACACATATGCCATGGCACTTCTGTGGAGATCACAGAACAAACTTTCAGGAGTCAGTTCTGTCCTCCCATCAGGGGTTCTGAGCATCAAATTGGCTTCTGCAGCAAGAATCCCACCTTCTGGACCATCCTCCTAGCCCTTACCTCAAGATACTTTGAGAAGAAGAACTTCAAAGATCTACCCCACTTTTATAACTCTACCATAATTCAGCCTTTTAAGGTCTCTAGAAAAATTAATTTCTTTAAAAAGTATTTTCCTTATTTATTGTGATAAAAACTTATCACATGAAATTTATCATTTTGCCATCATTTTATGTGTATAATTCAATGACATTAAATACTTTCACGATGTTTGATTGCCTTTTTCTCTAACTAAAGAGAATCTTCCCTGTGCCTGAGATAGAAACGAAGAATTTGCTAAGAAACAATTGTAGTCAGCATAAAGGACATTTCATATTCTTATCACAGAATACTTACTACTGAACACAAATACACACAGAAGAAGCGTTTAGTAGAACCTCAAAACAGTCACAGGGAATCAGGAAGTTCCAGTAGCTGCTGCATGACGTGCAGCCTTGGTCTGTATTGGAACAGCTTGTCTTAGGGCAGTCCAACACAAACTTGGCATTGATGCATAATTAATGAAGTGGGAAATGGATTAACAAGATTTTTCTCTCATTAATGTTTCCCTAATATCTGGCATGAAAGCAAAGCTGCATTAATTAAAAGAGGGGCTGTTGTGTGTGTTTGATTGCGGGTGGGTGCTGTGTGGGTCTACAGGGTAAGTTTGTCAGGTTTCATTTGCAGCCTCTTTTTTCCCCTCCGTGTTTACCCCCCTTTCTCATTTCCAGCCCCTCATCACTCCTTTTGTTCTCCTTGGGAACGCCATTGTATTTTTCTCCTAGGTGGATGCAGGAAAGAGGACAGATTGAATGGTTCACGTTTTAGATGGGTATCTGAGCACACATGAATTAACCAATATCTCATAATCTAGGCAATGAAAGCTTCCTCTTCATAGAGCAAAGAGGACATAATGTGCACTGTATGCGGCTTAACCGCTAGCCATGCTAATGAGTATCATGCAGGCACAACTCCTTTCTTAAGTTGATAACATGCTCCAGTGTACATCACTGTCAATTACACATCAACTCTTAATCATCTTGGGAAACGGGTGAAGTAAATCCCACTGCTGAGCACAAGCACCTCATGGGGGGATTATTGGCTAGCGTTAGGAGCTGAACTTGGAATCTTAATTCCTTTTCATTCTGTCAAAGTTATTCTACTACTGTCAATTAAGTCAAATATTCCCCCAGGAAATGAGAAACTGTGTGGGGTGTGTGTGTGTGTGTGTGTGTGTGTGTGTGTGTGTGTGTGTGTGTAAATGGAGTGAAAAGGAGGTGAAACTGAAGGAACATGGAGAGTCAATAGCAAGACTGTTTCTGTGCTTGGGTTCTCAAACAGCTGAAATGTGTGGCTCGTATCCCTATGCATTGATTTCAACATTTTTTTTTCAGATATAAGACCTGTTTTGTAGTGTGTAATGCTGACTTTTTTAGTTCTAAGAATAAGTGCTCACTGTTGAAAAATTGACTTTTTTCTTGGCTTAAGGCTCCTTTATTTAACAGATAGTTATGAGACCTATTACATATCAAGTAGAGAATACTACAGAGATAATGAAGATAATTTTGCTATCTAAGGGCTTGTTGGCTAGTAGGAAAAAAACCTGTAAATGAATACAGTTGTCCTTTGGTGTTTGTGGAAACTGGTTTTATACGACAGATACTGCAATCTGAAAATGTTCATATGTAAATGACATAGTACTTTAATGTATTCACATAAGCTATGTACACCTCTCTCATGCTTTAAAAATTTGCCCTAGATTGTTTATTATATCGGATATAATGTAAATTGCAGCCAAATTTCAATCCGATACTGCTTAGTAAAAATATAATAATATAATATAATAATAATATAATAATATCTGTACATGTTCGGTAAAGATGCATTTTTCTCTGAACGCCTTTGATTTATGGTTGATTTAACCTGTGCGTGTGGAGCATGTAAGACAGTTGACTGTACTTCACAATGTATGAGCGACTCAGTCCAGTGGACCTCAGGGCTTATGGAAGGCAGGACCAAAGAGTGGGGGAGAGGTCATGCCAGAAATCCCATGTCTCATATCAAGACATAAACCTGGATCCTTCATATCCATTGACCTTTAAAGATTTAAGTGCAAATATTCCTTTGCTAGTCTTAGTTTATTCTCCTGTTGCTGTGATAGTCTGAGAAAAGCGACTTCAGAAAGGAAGGAAGGGTTTGTTTGGTTCATGGCTTGATGGCACAATCCACCACGGTGAGGAAGTCAAGGCAGCAGGTCATATCACATTCACAATCAGAAAGCAGGGATTGATGAGTGGCTGGTGTTGAGCTATTGTTCTTCCTTTTATGCTGCCCAGGACCTAAGCCCAGGGAATGTTGCTGCCCACTTATAAGCTGGGTCTTCCCACCTCAATTAACTTAATCCATCACAGTCATGCACAGAGATTAAACCAGCCATCACAGGTGTGCTTAGAGGCGTGCCCCTAGGTGATTCCAGAGCCTGTCAGGTTTACAAAGAACACTCACTATCACAATGCTTCCTCCTTGATTTATAAAGTTATCTGAAATTTTACACCAATTTCATAATTAGTGCATTTTTATTAAAAACAATGGATTTTCTTCAAGACTCTTGAAAAATAATTTAGGAACAGGAGCTATTGTGATGGTTGAGCTATTAACTGGAGTAGGTCTGAGAGCAGCTAAGAGACACACCTCTGAGTGGGTGTGGGACAGTATTTCCAGAAGGACTAAGGAGGGAAGAACCACCTCAGAGTGGATACCACCTTCCTGCATGGCCCAGCCATTAAGGGTGAAAGAACTCTGCTTTCTGGCCTGCCTTCAAGTTTGGCTGGTTAGCACACCAATCACATTTCTGCAACAGTCCTTCAGAACCCAGCCTCTTTGGCCTTCCACTGTAGATGGAAGACCAGCAGTTCACCAGCACTCCTCCAGGTTCTCAGTGCCAGATCAGGACTGTGGAGGCATCCAGCCTTGTGGGCTCTCAGCCTCTCCATTATGGAGATAGCCCTTGTTGGACAGTTCAGGCCATATTGTGTAAGCCGATCTAATAAATGCCCTTTGCAACATATGTTCTACTGGTTCTGCTCCTCCAGGGATCTCTGACTAATATATCTATGTCACGTCATTTATTTGATTTTATTTTGTAGGAAAAGCCATAGTGTATAACCATGATGATCTAAGAACACAAGCACGGGAATACATCCCTCAATGGTCTTCAGCAGAAGAATACTTTGGCCAGATTTTCACTGTGAATAGAACATTCCAACCACTGCATGGCATATAGGGACCAGGAGGCAGAGGCTGAAGGGGAAGCTGAATCAGACCTACTTGGATTAAATCAGAACTACTTGGATTAAAAAAAAATCATTAAAAACCTGATTCAAATGACTGGCAGTAGTAATATTTTGAGATTGAAAAAGGTGTAGTTAAAGCATTGATAGAGTTGACTTTACAAAAAAATTAAAAAGGGTGTGTTCCAGCAAAATATAAAATTGAGAAACAGGGCTGAACAGACAAATCAGTCTATAAACTGCCTACGGTGCAAACATGAGGATGGGTCTGAGTTCAGTGCCGAGAGCTGTCATAAAAGTCCAGATGTGGGTTAGTAATCCCAGTGCTGGGGCAGGGGTGGAGGGACGGAGGGGTGAAATGGGAGGATACTTGAGGCTTGTAGGCAAACTACTCCTGAGTAATCACCCACCGACCCAACACACAGACAGAGGGTGGTAAGAAGAAATAAGAAGAAACACATGAATGATAGGAAAGATGGGCTATTATTTCCGAAATATAAAGAGCTCATATAAAATCACAAAAAAAGTTCTAAAAAAACAGTACAGCAGTTTGTGAAAGAAGATGAAAGATTTACAGAATCTTTTTGTTTGCTTTGGTTTTTGTTTTGTATTTTAAGACATGGTTTCTCTGTGTAGCCTGGGCTGTCCTGAATTTGCTTTGTAGATCAAGCTGACCTGGAACTCATAGAGATCTTCCTGCCTCTGCCTCTCCGAGTGCTGGCATTAGAGGCATGAGCCACCACGCCAGGCAGATTTATGGAATCTTAAAGTCCCAGGAAAGATTAAAATCAGAAATAAAACTTCGGTGTTATTTCTTAATATCTTGTTTAGTAAAGATCACATAATAGCTAAATATGTGCGTAAAGTTATCTCTTCAGTGCTATTAACAGCAACCAAAACTGAAAAAAATTCTTCATTGGGTGATTTGTTAAATAAACATGGTCATCACAGTATAATTTCACACAGCCATTAAAAATCATTTTGTAGGGAGCTAGAGAGATGGGACAACACTTAAACATCTTTATTGCTTTTCCAGAAGACTGGAGTTTAATTCTCTGCACCAACTTATGACTCCAAGGCCCTGGACTGAGGCCGTGAGCACACACCCACATTCAGAAACACACATGTATAATAAAGTCAATCTTTAAATATTTGTTTTGTAGGTATCCATTTATTAAGATAGATGGTCGGGGCAAAAAAAAAAAAAAAAAGCAGGCTACCGGACTTTGTGTGTATATATTTCTATTTTAGTGAAATTACATGTATGTGCCAGAATATGCATGCTTTTAGACAGAGGCATTCAGAAGGCTTTAATGAATTATCGAAACAGCGCTTCTTTCTGGGGAGATTTGGAGATGGCTTTTCTATTCGCTCTGTACTCTCCCAATTTTGTTTGGGATTACAAAATATTTTACTATTTGTAGAATTTTTCAAGTGAATAAAGCTTTATTACTTTTAACAAACATGTGGACGTGGTGGCCAGTTTGTTTTGTTTTTCATTTTAAAAAGGGGGGGGAATTGTTAGAGCAGAACCCTGCTCTCAATCCTACATCCTTTGCGCTGCTTCCTCACATCGCATCCTTGCCCTTTGTTTCCCTTTCTGTGTTACAACTTCTCATCCCAGACTCCGCCCCTCCTGACTCTGTCCTTACACTCCCTTGAAATATTCCCTGAACTGTTAGGCTCATCCGCCATAGCGCTGTGGAGGACAGCCCCTCTTTTAGCCTGCTTCAGAAATGTTCTTTGCATGTGTATTCTTGAGCCGAGTGGCAGAAAGAAGGTAACAGAAGAGAGAAGCCACTGCAGATGACCGGCACAAACATAGCCCAGGCAGAGCGTGACTGGATGCCTGCATGTACTGCAGTTCCCGCTGTGGCACCAGAGAGGGTGGGAGATGGTCTCAGGACTGAATGGGTCCATCCCCTGGGCATTCTGAGGAGCTGTGTGATTGTGGGTAGGGGGACGATTTCCAGCGGAACACCAGACGGCACTCTTCTTGTCTGTTTAGACGGTTTGGAGCTACGGAAGGATGTGAGATAATAGAAACAACTCAAGTGGGACTGTTGACACAGTCTTGCAGTTTTGCTCGTGCAAACAAACGAATTCCCATAACCAAACAAGCCAGGTCAGTCAGACACAAGCACGTACGTCGGTGTAGACGCAAATATTAGACACAGCAGCAGTGGTCAAGGACTTGGAGGCTGGAAAAAGAAAGAAGTCGGAGATGTATCTGCTTCCTGCAGCTCGTTTTCTGGGCCACCGCTCCCCAGCCACCATCACAGGCTGGCTTGTCGTCATTGAAATCTTGGCCATTTGTGGCTGACTCATCTGAGCCTTTCAAGGGCCAGGGTGTTTCTTAGTATGCACTGAACTCCTGCCAAACTATTGTTTCCCGCTACTATTGTGTACAAGACAGCGTGTACTAGAAATGTGAAACAGGAAGCGCCCATCTGATCTGATTATGGGAGAACAAATTTTCCAGCGTCCACATGCTGATGTAATTATTTCAACACAACCCCCCACCCTACACCCTAATCCCCTCACCAACAATTGTCTTTAGTACCACAGGCATATCACCTAGCTTTTTATTCCTTTTTTAGAAGAGTAGAACCCCAATGGCTGTCAAAGTGGAGCTTTACATCAGGCTTGAGGGAGTCCTTTTCCGTAGCTTGGTTTGCGTGCACGAAGCGTCTATGTTTGCGCTTGTTAGTTTTAATTTTCTTTGGAGCACCCTTAATTTATTTCACATAGGATTGTTTGCCTTCCATCCTCAGCAGCCACACTCACTTGGCCTATTCTGTTCTGTTTGGAGACCATGCTCTTACTTCCTTAGCAGCAAATGATGTCCAGGGAGGCTGGCTGTTGATTCGGTGTTCTTGAAATACTAAGGGTTGCTGTTCTCCGCATCTTTTCACTTTGAGCCCATTCTCATTGGTATCAGAGAGGGGTGCGTAGAAATGCTGTACTCACGGAGGTTAAGGCTTCAATCCAAAGCTTAGACTGTGTCTAGGAATGAGATGAGAGTGGGGAAAAAAAACCCACACAAATGGGGTGGGGGTTTTTTGTTGTTGTTGTTGTTATTGTTGTTGTTAGGAAGTAAAAAACTGTGATGCAAACTTCACAAAAGAAACAGCAATATTGAGCACAGCAGAGGCAGCTTCTCATTCAGCTCTCTGGCATACTTCACTGTGATATTTACCCTTGGCAAGCATGTGGAAGCATTCATTCAAGTCTAATGCATGTATGATCAAGTCTTTTTTCCCTTATTCATTTCTCCTAAGAAGATGGCCTCAACCTCACACTGAATCAGAGGATGGCCTTGAACTCCAGATTTTCCTGCCTCCACCTCCCAAGTGCTGATGTTGTAGGTCTGTGCCACTACCGCCCACATCTTTCTGTAGTGTAGCTCACATGTCTGACAGGCTCCAGGCATCCCATTTTCCAGGTGCTTGTTTCCTCCAGATTTACAGATTCTGAGAATTCTTTTATTTAGTAAAATGTTATCACAGTACTATTTCTAATGTCATTGTGAATTTCTTAATAGAAGTTCTGGCACTCTCTGTACAGAGTGAGGTTTTTTTTTTTTTAACTATTGTGAATTTATTTAACTATTGTAATTTATTTTTAAATTAAAAAATGAACAATAGTCAAGACAAAATGTTTGCCTCTGAGAAACATTTCATATTTAAGGGGAGAAAGGTCATCACCAGGGAACACAATCCTTATCTTTTAATGTTTCTAATTCTCTATAAAGATTTTTAACTATAAAGATTTAATGCCAATTCTAAGTGTATAATGTATATAAGTTCATTAATTTGTATAGAGTTTGGGTCTCTGATTTTGGTATGTGATTACCTCATTTGTTTGCAAGGCTTTTAAAAAAATGAAGTTTACAAAAATTAAAAGTATTTAACTAAATTTTAAAACTTTATTTGTTAATATTTTTAGATTGTGTTTATTTATGTAAAGGGGCTGCAGGGAGGTTTAGAACAACTTGAGGGAATCTATTCTTTCCGCCCACCACGTGGACTCTGGGTTGGAACTCAGATTCTCAGTCTTGGCAGCCGACGTTCTCACCGTGCCATTTCCCCAGCCCAGTTAAGTAATTTTTAAATGTAGGTTTCATGATCCCTTTTAACTTCCTGTTTCTACTGGGAATCATTTATATTAAAAAACCTCCCCAATTTCAAAAATCCAGTAATTATTAATTTATTAAAATTATCTTTCCCAAAAGAGAGGATTCAGGAAAGACTGCTTCCAGGTCTGAGGAACGAGTTACAATGCTAGATCTTAAGCAGCTGTTAGACATTTCTTTGTGCATGCTCAGCCCAGGACTCAAGTGAATACACAACCTATAGGAGTCTTCTTGAGCAGGACTCCCGGCAAAGCCGTTGAAATTCCAACCTGAGTACACCACGGGCCAATATTCAGTTTCCTTGTCCTACCGCCCCACCACCAAAAAGAGAAGGCAGCTCGGGCCAGGCTCTCCTCAGGCCTGCAGCCACTCAAAGCCAGAGACTAGCCTCTGCCCTTACGGAACCCCAAGAACCTTCTGAAATCTGTAGGAAGAAACCTGTCTCTCCCCCACCCCCCATTTAAGAATTGATTTCCAGCCAAGCTTATGCTTTTCAGTGACCAAAAATAATCAGTTAAGAAGAGAAAAATTCAATTAGTCTATTGTTTTGGCTGTGTAGCCCCAAGTAACCTACATGCATATTTTGAAAAAAAAAAAAAATTTTTTTTTTTTTTTGTCCACAGTTCATTGTGTATTTTGAATGCACTGAAGTTTAAGTTTCTATTATATAGCTAACTAGAAAAAAGATGCTTTGTATGAGAAACAGTTTTGTTTTTAGAGAGTGGCTGTTTCAGAAGCAAGTGAGGTCATTGGGAATCCTGTTTTAGGAAGGAGGGTTGGGTGTGGGACACGGACAGAGAGGAAGTCCTATGTCAGAGGGCTCTGCACACGCGGTCCTCAAGTGCCTCCTCCAGCCTGGGCTGTGATCTGTTGTTTCAATCTACCATAACAGTTTCATTTTGCTTCCTCACACAAGCTTACACATCTGACAAAATAACCACGGCAGACACTTGTTTTCAGGA